ACTGGAAGGGTCATGGAAGGGTCACTGGAAGGGTCATGGAAGGGTCACTGGAAGGGTCATGGAAGGGTCACTGGAAGGGTCATGGAAGGGTCACTGGAAGTAATGTCAATAGTGTCACTGGAACTTTTATTTTGTAAAATCTCACTGGAAGGCCAGAAATTCCCACCGGAAGCCAAGATTGACAACACTGTTTATTTCTACAAGTGATAAGAACCAAAAAAAGAAAACTTATAGAACATTAGGATTGAAATAGGGATTGTTGGTATGACACCAGAAACGAGACTCTTCCTGCTTTACCGATTTTTAATTCTAACTAAAATCAGACTACTATAACGATAATTGTCAAATTGGGCCAACTTTAATTGTCAGTAGAATGGTCGTCGGGAAAATGACTTCTGTCGATATTTTTTACATTCGACTTTGTGTAGCTGTAAACTTCGAGTTAGTTGAGTCGATAAATTTAGGTTCGCTACAATTATTAACGCTCATAAAAGTTGGTTTGTTTCGGAAATTATGTCCTTTAAAAGCATTATACTTTTGTTAAAACAATCCCATGCACATCCCAGAATAACACGCACTTATGTAATATTTATTGACGTATTTGATGCATGCGTATCAGTGCAAAATTTCGATACATTGTTTCGAAGTAACACACATAGGCTCCTCTAAATAATAAATAAAGCGCAGATTGCGTTATTTAATAGCTATTTTATAGTACGTAACCTATCTAAGATTTTATCCCATTTAGATCTTATTCCTTATTGGTATATCGTGTAGGTCTTATCCACTTACAAATCGACACCTTCGTTATGTAAAAGCGCAAGACGGTATCGGAATAACTGTTATTACAAATCCCTCTATTCAAGGTCTATGAATCAAAAGTGGGCTTAAAATAGGAAATTCAATGTAGCTTTTACATTTATTTTAATAATATTTTCGATGTCTTTTAAAATTACTCATAGGAATAACTAATTACAAGAATCCGTGGCTCTGAAATCTCTCATTTAGTGCATCTTTGTACAATATCCTTGTGCATTATTTCGACAAAACGCCACAAAATCCTCCATAATTAATAGAAAATGGAGTTTCAATAAAGACTAATAAGTACGATAACTTTTATATATGGTTTTCACGAAATTTTTTTGCTAATTTCAAAATTTTCTCTTGTAAAGATATCACTTTTAAATATACCTAACTATTTACAAGTTATCATGTATTTAGTCATGCCTATAGAGAATATTCAATTTGAAGGCCATAAGAATCATTATTGAAAAACTAATAATAAAAGTTCACCTTTTACGAAATTTAATTATAACTTATTCTAAACGATAAGGGAATCACATTGATAGTTATTATAATGATTTCCTTGGCAATAATTTATGTTTTTGGGCGGAGGTATCTATTTGTGGGTGGATACAAACGAAAGCGTAAAAGACTTATATCTGTCTAGTGTAGTTCTGTAAAATTTTTACAGCGAACAATTATGTAAACAATAGAAAACTAATAACTCTATGGACTAAACGCAAGTTCTTTACTAACAATAATAAAATTTCTTATAGTTTTACCGCCAACTATCATGTAGTAGTGAGTATTATCAGTGATGTGAAAGCTTTCTAAGAATACTTTAAACTCTAGCTTTTCATGCATGAGCTATTCATAACAAAGATGGTAAATGATTCATGGGCCATTTCAAATGCCAAAATGACCTATTCGGGTCATTTAAATTTGCCTATACACCTTTAGCCAATCAAAATTGATTAAAAGCAGTAATATGATTGAATAAATTAGGTAGCTGCGCGACATAGTCGTGCTTAAACCAGGAACGGGAGGCTTTATTTGGGTTAACTAATACGTTTAATTACAATATATTTAGAAATAAACTAGGAAATTAGAATCTGTAGGTCTGAAGAGAAAAATCATTTTGTCACACTGGATGCAGATCAGTCACGGGCCTAAGATCCTCGATTTTTATTCAGTTTCGGACTAACATTGCATCTACATCTGCTTGAACAATTGAGTCTTCCTATGCTTCGGACAATAATGAAAAAGGGAAATTTTAATCAATAATTTAAAAATTTAGTTATGATTCTAGTACGTATAGAACAATTTCATGAATTATTTTGTCGACAGTCATTTCACTGATAAAGCTTGAGCGATAGGTTGGGCGGGTAGATTGTTAGTGTTGGCTAGAGGTAGATTGTAGATGAATCTTATAAAAGTCTTAATTATGTACATATAGTACATAAGTTAGTCAATGTACATTAAAGAATTGTAATTAACCTGTTTTTATGAATAACGAACAATCTATCGGTTGGGGATGACGCTGAAACTTTGGCTTATTTTAATATGAAATTTTAAAATTTTGGAAGGACGATTTTTTTAACCTTTTTTTGTAGAAAGGTTAGGATTTAGGGTTTGTGTTTATAATAAAAAGGTATAGGTGGATTTTAGTAGGATTTATATTTTTATATAGAGACCCTTAAATTCAGCATCATCCTCGACATCTACTAATATTTTTTGATACTGTGAAGATTGATTTGTCTGTTTTGTATATTTTATGATTTATTTAAAAAGTAGAAAAGTAAGTTAGTGATTTGCAACGATGGTGATTAATAATTTCAGCGGTGAAACAGTGATCTTAACAATGGGTGTTGGTGATTTTATAAAAGGTTAGCGATTTGAACGTCGAGTGAGTTTACTGTTTAAGTAGTAGATTAATTAGTACATTTAATATTGATGGGTTAATTTTAGCGGTGGGTAAATTAGTAGTTTAAACAATAAGTTAATGAATGTTTACATTTGAGTAATGATAAAGATTTCAACTACAGTATGAGTGGACTCGAGATTTTGTAGCATACGTTCGTGACTTCAACTGTGGATTTTAGTTTCACAGTACAGATTTGTGGCTTTGAGAGATGGGTCGTGATTTTGATAGTGGGTGAAGAATATACAGGATGTGACAATTATGATCATGTTGACCAATCGGGTAATAGATTTTGGGATCGTACCACTTTCTTTCTTCTGTAAGCCATACACTTCATGATTTCACTCCGTTCTCGGTATTAAGAATTACTTTTACATTGCCACTACCATTATTCTTACAACTTTATAATATTTGATAAAGCAGTGCAACATAGTTGCGTAAAACATGAACAGAATCATGGTCCAACCATTTTAACAAATTCATTCATTTATCATCTTTGTCAATCAATCATTATCATTTAACTAGTCCTATAAAAATTCAATAAAAGGTGTAAAATTCAATAAAAGGTGTAAAATGTTAAAGTTTCAGAAACAGGCATTAAACTCTAGCGAACTACTAGAAATGCCGTATGAATTGCGATCCAGTCATTTGAGGTCATTTTAAAAATAAGCAAATGACCTGATCGTTTATCAATCCTGTTTCACGATGTACACAAAGATTATTGTGCCGCAGAAGATCTATTATACGTCACACTGTTATACATATTGTCGTTCGGAAAATCGGCGAGTCTATCGCTAATCTATTCCAATTCTCGCGTAACTTACAGCGGTTAAGTCGAAATCGGCGTGTTAGATTTGGCTAGTGGGTTCTCGTCCATAGGTAAGTACTGCTCTCCTCTTTGAATCTTTCCTTCAACCTATTCTTACACTAACTTTTGTTTTCTCTTGTCTGCCTCAAGCTGGGATTATTCGACGTCGAATCAGGATTGGAACTCTTCTCTTATGTTAACGGCCTTCTTGGTGACTTATGGTGAGCGATCAATTTGCGGTTTAGTGGTTTTTGGGAGAACGATTATGTTAGTGATGGGATTAATGATAATTTATTAGTTTGCATAGGATAATACTTTCACTTTATTAAGGATCGGGTACTTAGTTTTATGTATGAAATGTAATTACTTTGGGGTTGCCTTTCTTTTCCCCTGCCCTTTATTTATAATAAAAGATTTATCTATATTTGAGGTTAATTTCCTTTACATTACTTATTTACACTATAATACTGCTAAAACCCTTATTCCCACTATGATAAATAAGAGCCGGATATTCTATATATTGTCGATCAGTGTTGAGCAAATTAGTGTTCGACCAAAAATTTACTGGTCAAATTGGTCAAATTTACTATAAATATAATATATATATATTGTTGTTCGGCAAATCGGCGAGTCTGTCGCTAATTCCTTCCAATCCTCGTGTAACCTACGGCGGCTAAGTCGAAGTGGGCGTGTTAGATTTGCTAGTTGGTTATCCGTAGGTAAGTACTAATCTTCTCTTCTAAGTCTTTCCTTCAACCTATTCTTCTATTACCCCTTTGCCTTCTCTTCTCTTCTTTCTACTTCCTTAACCCGGAGTTACGATACGTCGAATCGGGTTTGGATCCTTCTCTTGCGTTAACGGCGTGTCACGGGACTTACAGCGAACGATCAAAATGCGGTTTAGTGGGTTACAAATGGGCGAACGATAGTCGATAATGATGGTTTTAACGATAGTTTTTAGTTTGGGTTGGGATATAGTTTCACTTTTAATATGGGTTCGATACTTAAGTTTATTATGCAAAAATGTATTTACTTGGGGATATCGCTTGTTACTTTCCCCCTGGGCGGAAAGCCCTTTATTTATTATAAAAGTTTTATTTACAATTGAGATTAATTTCCTCTATATTATCTATTTACACGATATCAGCATTAAAAACCCATTTCCATTCTATCCTAAAGAAAAACCGAATGTACTATATGCCGTCAATCCACCCGAAGTAATAAAGTAATAAATGTAACAAAAGTAATAAAAGTAAGAAAAGTAAGGTTTCTCTTACTTTTCATGTGACTAATTACTCGGGTAGGCGACCGGACCTAAATGCGCCGATCGATCACGTGTTACGTATGCCCTCATAGGCAGAAGTTTGTCTGATTGGCTAATAAATTCAATTTAATTTTACATTATTTATACAGTTTAGAGTACTTTTCAAAAAAAACGAAAACCAACAATAATAAAGTAAAAAAAATCATCTAGAATGTTTCATTAGAACTGTAGGACTCCATAGTCAAAAATAAAGTACTTTAAATTTAATTGAATTTATTAGCCAATAAGACAAACTTCTGCCTATGACGTATGACCGTGATAACGGTGGTACCGATTTCGGGCTCACAATATATATATTATA